TGCCAACGATAGTTTTTGCTTTTCCAAGATCAGTCCTTTTTATTCGAGCTAAAAATAAAAAAACAAAAAAAAAAAACAAAAAAAAAAAAAAGAAAGTGTAACATTAAGCATCTGTCCTTTTGTTTTCATGACACGCTATTTCTTAATGTGCAGCCCACAGCAGCATCTGCCTCAGTCTGAACACTGGGCAATGAATGGATGTCAAGAAGCACTCCGACAAAGGTAAGGGTTCCCAGAAAAGCTGATGTGACAGGATCCACAGGGGATCCCAAACAGCCTCCCGTTGGAGCAGGATCAGCTGGAAATACACAAGGATGGAGTTCCCCTGTGCTAGGACCTATCCCTGTGCTCCCACTGCTCCTCTGGAGAAGCTTCTCATACTGTCCCATGGATATCGAGACTCTTGCTGAAAATGTCAGTCTGTAAGTGACACCTGATGCTTTGTATCCCAAAAGCCTATCCTGTTTTGCCTTCTAACCAAGCACCACCAATTCCACGCCAAGTGAGAACAAATGTTTGCTGATTTTAAAAAACAAAATCTTAATAAAATCAGCTTTGAAATAACAGGAATAGGATGAAATAATTTACAAATTAGAATAGTGAAACAAGCAAACATTTCCTGAAATAATGACCAGCTTTACTTAATAGTGTTCTTTTAGAGAAATGCTGCTAGCCTTTGGTCAGCTTTCTTGGAAAGAACTTGCAGAGGTGAAAACTGCCCTATGTGGCATCCCCCAGGATCAAGAAAACCGTGACCCTGTGTTTTACAAGCCAGGTACGCATGATAGCACAGTTACTTGGGGTGGCTTAACTGACCTTGTAACTGATGAGGACTGCAGAACAAAGAAGGCAAATAAGTCCTTGTCCCTGCTAATTTTCTACCCGTTAGTAATATAGTGTTTTGTGCCAATACAACACTGTCAAAATACACTCAAAAATACTCAGGAATTCATTCAAAGATGAACAATTTGCTATTCATCAAACATAAATATATGTGTGCAACAAAACACACAGATTTTGTTGCTCTACAAGAAATGAGTGTATACAACAATCTACCCCAACAGAAAGGTGTGAAGGGTAAGAACACAAGAATAAGAACAGTACCTTGTCGCATGATTTTGTCTCTTTGGTCCAAAAGACGGTATCTTTCTTCAGATGTCTCTGCCACTAATCCTACCAGGTTACTCAGAGATGACAACGAAGCTCCCATGGCTTCTGAGTTCTGTCCTTCAGAACCAGAATCAAACAGATCTACTTCAAACTGCAGAGCCTTTCGAAGACCAGGCTTCTTTGCTGGAGAGCTAAAACCAAGTATATTGCTTGTAAGTGCATGACAACACACACCAAATAATCACTGTCCAACTAGGCAAACCATTAAGGTGCTACAGAAGAAGGTACAAAAAAAAGCCTGCAGCTTCAGCACCTGGCATAAAGCAGGTCTCCTGCATAAAGCCCATTCTCTAAGTACAAAAATACAATGATCTCACTCATAGCTTCTCTGAAAAGAGGACTAATTCCACAGATCCGTTTTTGTCAACGAATGAAACCACTCACTTCAGAAACCAGTTTAACCAAGACCACCCAACACAGTCAGTCACTGCTTGGCCTTACGAGAGCTTTGCACTGTTTTTCACCATTTTCTTATGCCTCACTGTTATAGCTGTTTCTTATGTTGTAAAAAATGAACAAACAAAAACGCTTTAAAAAAAAAAAAAAGACTGAAGAAATAAAAAGCCTTAATATGCAGTCAGAAGCATCTGACAAAATGTGAGATTCGTAACTCCAATTCAGCCAAAAAGCCACATGTTTAAAATGAATATGTGCCAGCAGATAGAAGAAGCACACTCTCTTGCTAAGAACATCACTACTCAGCACACACTGATCACTTTTGCCCATCCATCCTGACAGATTCTTAGAGAACACTCGTACATACCTTCTACCAGGCATTGCAGCGCTGGCAGAAGATCTTATTAAAGGTTTTCGAAGAGGGGAATGCTGGTAGTTTTGCTCTTCACTGCTTTGCCTTCCTTCCTCTTCACTTGCTTTCTTCTCCTTGGATGAAAATTCTCTTTTTGCTGGGCCTAAAGTGATATATAAACATCAGGACAGGTACTCAGCAAATAATTTTCGCAACAGCTTTTTGCCTCAACTCCCCAGCGGTGTAGTGAGTAATTGGCTTTATTTTCTGATAATATTATTCCACTTACAACCTCATGGATGCACACAACACTAATAGGACAGCCTGCACGGGAAGTTGCACCAATGACGCCCACTAATTTCTGGTTAGCTTTAGAGTTCCATAAAGGAAAAGCATTCTTGAATAAAACATTGCTAAGCAGTAAATGCAATTACTCAGCACATTGCCAGTAAATGAAGTCTGGGCATCAAATTTTAGTTCTTTTGAATTTGGGTTATAACTCAAAACTCACAGCTCAATACCCGGTGGCCTGGTTCAGCCTTGCTCAGTGACAAACTGATGCAAAAACACAAAAAACAGAACACCTGGTATTTAATCTGTTTTACCAACAAAAACTACGACTGTCACAACATTTTCAGTGCTCCTGAGTTACTTGAACAATTCACACATCCCAAGCTCAGGCTGGGGTTGACATGCCTCTTCAAGAGTTAAGTCAAAAAGAAAAAGAACAAATTCTCAGCCAGCTGGATTTCTCACACTCTCTCAGATTAGTTACTATAGAATACTGCCATCCAGGTTTCTGTAGACCTTAATGCCAAAATAACATGACAAAAGCGTCCTTACAGCTGTTGCTTTGAGATATTTCTTCTCAGGAAAACAACTCTACAGCTGCTCTCTTGCTGTGAAACTAAGTTCCTGGGTTGGTCAAAGCTGTGGCAAGCCATTCACTCATTCTGAAACATATCTTCAAGCCAGGAACTTAGAGCTACAAACTCTGATTCATAAAATTAAAGGGAAGCACTTGGCAATTCAAATACTCACCTGGGGAGATGAATAGCCAACACCAGCATCTCCTTTTGCCTGAATCTCAAGCAGAGGGCTGGGGATAGCCCCCTTCCTGGCTCCTAGGCTTCCTGGGAGCTATTCTCATTTTGTGAAGGCAGAGAAATAATTCTGTATGCAACTACATGCTTTAAAATATCCTCCTCTCTCCCCAGTATCTGTGCCATTACCCACTGTACGCATCACTTGCTCATCACATCAAGAAACACAAGACTTACTTGTTTTCTTCTTCTGCCAAAACGTCACTATGTCTTTGTGCAATTCTTTTGCCTTTTTTTTGGCGAGGGCTGCAGAGGCCTGAAAGAAAACAAAGCGGAACTCAAGAGCTGTTAGCACAAGGAAGGACAGCTTCTGCTGGAGAAACATGTACCAACACTCAGACCTCTAGGCGCTGTCTTTTAGCCTAGAATCATTTCAGTTGGAAAGGACCTTTAAAGGCCATCTAGTTCATCTCCCTTACAATGAAAAGGGAGACCCACAGCTCGATCAGGTGCTCAGAGCCCAGTCAAGCCTGACCTTGAATGTCTCCAGGGATGGGGCATGGACCACCTCCTTGGTCAACCTGTGCCAGTGCTTCACAGCCTCCTGCCTGAGACATCCATGCAACTGACGGGGCTGGGTGTGTTCCACAACACATTACTTTTCTAAGAGACTGCAGAACACACGGGACTACAGGCCTCACCAAAGCAGCAACGTTCCCAACAAGCAGATCACCCTGCAAAGATAGTGTTGCCCTTGATGCTACCGCATTTGGCGTTCAACTGCGCACTAATCACAGAATCACAAAGGCTGGAAAAGACTCCTAAGATCATCCAGTCCAACCGTCAGCCCGCCCCACCGTGCCACACCAACCACAACCCTCGGCGCCTCAATCACAGTCTTCTCGAACACCTCCGAGGGCAGTGACTCCACCACCTCCCCAGGCCGCCTGTTCCAACGCCCCACCACCCTTCCGGACGACAGTTACTTCCTAACATCCAGCCCGGCCCCGCGCCAGGCTGCGGCACTCAGGTTAACCCCCGCTCCCTCGCCGCCAGCCCCCAAAACTTACGTGGTCAAAGAAGTGGACGACGGCCGTTTTCTTATTCCTGCGCGTCATGACCCGGCGGACCTTCACGAACTGCCCGAAGTGCTTCTCCAGCACCGTCCTGTCGTTGAGGTAGTCGGGGACGTTTTTGCACTGGATGGCCGTTAGCTCGCCCGGCGCCGCGCCGCTCAGGCCGTCCGTGCCATCGTCGCCCCTCGCTCTGCGCGCCGGAGCGACGGGAGCGCCGTCCGCCGGCCCGAGCCTCGCCGGGTGCGGCATCTCCCGGCCCTCGGCCGCCGGCTCCTCGGCCGCGCCCCGCTCGGGCTCCCCGCGCTCGCGGCCCTGGCTGCGCAGCACCTCCTGCAGTGTGCGGCCGAACAGGGCCCCGCCACGGGGCCGGCTCAGCAGCACGGCGCGTTTCTCCGGCGGCGCAGCCACCCGCCCGCCCGACGCCGCCGTCCGCCGCGGCGAGCGCTCCCGCTCCTCCTTCCGCTTCAGCCCCTTCGGCACCGCCTCGCCCGCCTCCTCCGCGGCGTTCAACGGCGGCCGCGCGGCGCCCTCCTCGGGGCGGCCAAGCGGCGGGGCGGGCCGCGAGAAAGAGAAGCCGGCGGCGGGCGCCGGCGGCTCGTGTCCAGCCGCCTCGGGCGCGAAGCCGAAGGGCGGCGAGAAGGTGAAGGCGGCCGGGCCGTCGGGCGCCTTGAAGCGGAACTCCGGCGGCGCGAAGGCCCCGCCCGCCGCGTCGCCTGGCGCCGGGAGGCCGCCCAGGTCGGTGGGCGGCTTGAAGCTGAAGCCCGCGTTGCCCGCCGACCGGCCCGGCCCGTAGGGTTGCGCGGGGACGAAGGGCGGCGCGGCGGCCTGGCCGAAGCGCGGCGGGAAGGCGGGAGGGCCGCGGAACGGACCGCTGGCGTTCATGGCCTCCGCTCTCCGCGGCGGGCCGGCCCCGCGCACGCGCCGGCGGGCCGAGGCGGGCCGAGCGGGCGGAGCTCCGGCGCCATGAGCGTGCTGATCCGCAACGCGCAGCGCACAGCGCCTCTGCGCCGGGTGCCGCTCCGTCGCGCTGTCTGCGCGCTGCGGGCCGCGCTGGGCGCCGCGCGCTTCGACGTGGCGCTCATCTGCGCCGGCGACGGGCTGATGAGGCGGCTGAACGGCGCGTACCGCCGGCGCCCCGAGCCCACCGACGTGCTGTCCTTCCCCTACCATCGGGTGGCGCCGGGAGAGCTCCCGCGGCCGCGCAGCCGCGACGAGTACAACCTCGGGGACATCTTCTTGGGGGTGGAGCTCATCCAGCGGCGGTGCCGCCGGGACGGGGAGGACTTCGAGAGCGTGCTGACGGTGAGCGCCGCGGCGCGGAGGATCTGGGCCGGCGGCCTGGGAGCCCTAGCGTTCGTTTTTCTTCTTGGATTTTAGCTGCGGGAGGCGGGAGTCTGATTGGAGCGGTGTCCACTTGAGCGAGCGGTGGGCCCAGGGGAACCTCGTGTTCTCGTGCGTATTCTCATGGGACCGTGAATCTCATGGTATCGTGTGTATTAGAGAATATGAATGTTGGACACAGCAAGCCTGCATATGCATACAGACCGGGGGAGGACAGGCTAGAGAGCAGCCCTGTGAAAAGGGATCTGGGGTTTTTGGATGACAGAGTTGAACCTGAGCCAGCAGTGTGCCCGGGCAGCCAGAAGGGCCAACCGTACACTGAGGTGCACCAGACCCAGCACTGCCAGCTGCGAGAAGGAAGGCAGTGTCCCCCTGGTGCAGCCTCACCTGGAGCACTGGGGGCAGGTCGGGTGCCAGAGTATGAGAAGGACATAGAGCTATTGGAGAGCATCCAAAGGAGGGCTGCAAAGATGCTGAAGGATCTGGAGGGCAACGTGTGTGAGGGGTGCCTGAGATCCTTGGTTTGTTCAGCCCAGAGCAGAGGAGGCCGAGGGGAGGAATCACGGTGGCCTAAAGCTTCCTGGTGAGGGGAGCAGAGGGGCAGGCACTGATTTGAACTGGTTGAGAGCGGCGGCCAACAGCTCAATGTCTGGATGGAGACCAACGGACGAGTGGTGTCCATTAGGGGTCAGCGCAGGAACTGACATGATTTCATGTCTTCATTATTCACAGTGGGATTGAGTGTGCCCTCAGCAAATACGTGATGATGCCCAGCTGTGTGCTGTGGTCAGCACGCCCGAGGGACAGGGTGTCATCCGGACGGATGATGACAGGCTGAGCAGTGGGCCCAGGAGAACCTCATGAGGTTCAACAGTGCCCAGTGCAAGGTTTTGCACCGGTGACGTGGCAGCCCCCACCATCAGTACAAGTTGAGGGATGTAAGGAACACAGCCTTGCTGAAAAGGACCTGGGGGTGCTGGTTGATGGCAGCTGGACATGAGCCAGCACTGTGCCCTCACAGCCCAAACCCAACCAGATCCTGGGCTGCATCAAAAGCAGCGCAGCCAGCAGGGCGAGGGAGGGGATCTGCCCTTCTGTGCTGTGAGACCTCACCTGAAGCTCTGTGTCCAGGTGGGGAGTCCTCAGTACAAGAGAGGTGTGCATCTGTTAGAGCATGTCCGGGGAAGGGCCACAGAAATGCTCGTAGGGATGGACGCTTTCCCCAGGAGCACAGGCTGAGAGGGCTGGGGCTGTTCAGCATGGAGAAGAGAAGGCTGAGGGGAGACCTGAGAGTGGTCTTTTAATGTCTGACGGAGGGCTATGAGAAAGAAGGGGACAGAGTCTTCAGCAGAGTCTGTTGAAACGGGACAAGGGGAAGCAGCTCTGAACTGAAAGAGGGAAGATTTAAATTGCATATAAGGAAAAGGCTTGTTCTGTTCTGTTTTGTTTTGCTTTACGATGAGGATACTGAAGCACTGCCACACGTTGCCCAGAGTTGGTGAGTTCCCCATCTCTGGAGGTGTTCAAGGTCAGGCTGAACAGGGCTCTGAGCAACCTCGTGTAGCTGTAGATGTCTGTGTTCATTGCAGCTGGTATCCGTGACCTTTAAAGGTCCCTTCCATCTCAAATGGTTCTATGATTAACTATAAGCCTGGGAATTTTATTTGGTTTAATTTAAAATAACACAGGTGAGCAGTTTCAGCTGCACACTGCTTCCGTACAGGAAGGACAGAAGACTGCCTACACCCACCACCTCCTTTGAGGTCTCAGTCCAGAATCTGCCCATCCAGTGGCTGCATGCCATGGCAGTGGGTGGAACCCAAGGCTTTAGGGAAATTAGGGGCTTTGGGACTGGTAAAAGGGTTGCTAAAATGGTGCAGGGTTAGTCGTGGCACTGCTCATGGCACAGGTCAGCAGAGCGAGCTGTCTGATGCCAGTGGCAACTGTGTGTCACTCCTGTTGCTGATCTTGCCTGTACCAGCAAGCTGTGGCAGATGTTGGGAGTTAGGTTTGTGACATCTACTCTCTGTTCTTTCTTCTCTGCACAGGTGACTGCAGCCCATGGATTGTGTCACTTGCTTGGCTACCAGCACAACACAAAGGCGGAATGGGAACAGGTAAAGCAGTGCCCTTGCCCTGGGAGGGTGCACAGTGCCCAAACTGTACCAAAGCTGAAAAGATTTCCCTTTATCACATCTCATGGAAGGGAGTGGCCCCAAGTCCTGTCCATCTCAGAATCACAGAACTGCAGGGGCTGGAAGGGACCTCTGGAGATCTTTTAGTCCAGTGTCCTGCTAAAGCAACCTCCCTGCAGGAGGTTGCACAGAGAAGTGTTTGAATGGGTTGGAATATCTCCAAAGGAGACTCCACCACCTCTCTGAACAGCCTGTTCCAGGGCTCTGCCATCGTCCTGGACAGCCCTGACAAGCTGGGGCACATGTTGGTAAGGACACGGTGCTTGTCACACAGGTGTTGTGTCCCTGCTCTGCTCTTTGACCTGTGGTATTCGGCAGCTGTTTCAGCCCCTGTGCCCTTCTACAGATGTACCAGAAGGAAGAGGAAATCCTGGAGGAGCTGAACCGTCTCACAGGCAGCAGCCTCCGGCCCCTCACTGCTGGCCTCTTCTGAGAGAGGGGCTGGGCTGCCACCAGGCCACCCCGGACATGGCAGCACACCACCCTGGCCTCCTCATGCTACTGCTGCTGGGTTTGGCCACCCTGGCCTTCCCACCGCACGCTGCCGCCCAGTCGCTGCCCGCTGCCCTCCGTGCTGGCCATGCTGCCACCTCGCTGCCCGCTGCCGCCGCCGCACCACGCACTCGGTGAGGAGCAGCCCCACCACCCTGACCCAGGCAGTGCTGTCTCCCTGGGTCTGAACCCCCTCCCTCACTACCTCTGCTCAGGCTGTGGGTCTGCTGATACGGTGACCAGCAGCACCACTGGGAAGTGATTTTGCAGGCACATCAGAAGCCTTGTTCACCCTGTTGTTTTGTTTGAGTCATGTCTGGGAGACAGCGCCATCGTAGCCATAGTCATGATTTGGGTGCTGCCTGGAGTCTCTTTCTGTCTACCAACACCAACACTTTCTGGTGGCCTTTTCTAGAGGCAGAGAGCACTCACCCTTTCTGCCCTGTCCCTTCTCAAAGGGTCCTCCTTTGTCAGTATTTGTGTCACAGGAATTAGCCTGAGTGACCTGTCAGTCATTTCACCCCCCTCAGTAATCTGCATACAGATTACTCTTCAGGGTGTGCAGTATGCTCAGAGTATTTGCTCGGTGTCCCTTCTGTGTCCTCCCTTGCTGCAGGAGAGACCTGCCAAGAAGGCCTTCAACAACAGGAAAGCCCCTTGGGACCATCCTTCCTGTACTGCTAGGGCATGCCGTGGTCTTGTCTGCCTGTGCAGCATGCACTGCTCAGCCTTCCCCTGTTTACACTCCCTTCCATCCCCTGAATACCACAAACTCATGAAAGAGCAAGAGTTATCCTTGCAGTAGAGTTGCACCACATATACACGAAGTAAAATGACCCGTGTAATTGCTGTGAATTCTTCCTGAAGTGGTGATGTTGCCTTGTTCTCTCTAGGTACCTTCTGTATGATGTAAATCCTCCTGAAGGCTTCAACCTTCGCAGAGATGTCTATATTCGTATTGCTTCACTTATGAAGACTCTGCTGAAAAGTGAAAATTGGGTGTTAGTTCTGCCACCCTGGGGACGTCTCTATCACTGGCAGAGCCCTGACATCCTTCAGGTCCGAATCCCTTGGTCTGAATTCTTTGATCTCCCAAGCCTTAATAGGAACATTCCTGTCATTGAATACGAGCAGTTCCTTGCAGGTAAAGTATGAAATAATGCATTCTAAACTTGACTAAATCATGGAAAGGTTTTCTATAGAAGTTTGTTTTCACAAATGCTTTTATCCTCATTTATGCGAAATAAAAAATGATACAGATGGCAGGAGGAGAAATGAGAAGAAAACTTTTGGGGGCAGCTTGTTCCAGTGCTCTGTTACTCTGACAGTAAAGAATTTCCTTCTCATGTTCAAGTGGAATTTCCTGTCTTCCTTTTCGTCCCATCCCTTGTGTTGGTGGGCACCACAGAAAAAGAGCCCGGCTCCATCCTTCAGATGTTTAGAAGTGTTAGGAAGATCCCCTCGGTATTTCCTTCTCCAGGATGCACAGCGCCAGCTCCCACAGCCTGTCCTCATGCAGGTGCTCCAGAACCCGACCATCTTTGTGGCCCACCACTGGATTCTCTCCAGCTGTTCCCTGTCTGCCTTGAACTGGGGAGCCCAGACCTGGACACAGCCTTCTAAATGTGGCCTCACCAGGGCACAGCAGAGAGGAGGATCACCTCCCTTGACCTGCTGGCCATGCTCTCTGTAAAGCACCCCGTGGCACCATTGGCCTTCCTACCAGCAAGGGCACGCTGCTGGTTCATGGTCAACCTGTTGTCCACCAGGACACCCAGGTTGCTCTCTGCAGAGCTCCTCTCCAGCAGGACAGCCCCTAACCTGTACAGATGCAAGCAGTTATTCCTCCACAGGTGCAAGACCTTACTCTTGCTCTTGTTGAATCCCATAGGGTTCCTCTCTGTCCAACTCTCCAGCTTGTCCAGGCCTTGCTGTATGGATGCACAGCCTTCAGGTGTGCCAACCACTCCTCCCAGCTTCGTTTTCTTTAGAGTTCAATGCCACATAGAGTTAACCACCACACTGCAGAATCTGAAAGTGTCACAGAGCTCTTTGGCCCAGGACATAAAAACCACCAAATGTCACACCTCTGCAAAGGGCCCTGAAGGGATCCTTGGCCCCTCCCTTTCAGTAAAAAGAATTTTAAACCCTGAAATTTGAGGGAGGAAAGGTAAGAAGGGTATGAGCTTCTGGAGGCTCTTCCTGTAGCAGCTACCCACAGCACTGAAAATCTCTGTGTTTCATACTTTCTCTGATCACGAAGGGAATCAAATTTTACATGAATCAAGAGGTAAAAATAATCTGCATATAAATGATAGAAAACAAAGATGCAAAGAAAGCATGTGCAGGGCTGAACAAAGGCTTGGAAGGAAGGCTTGGTTTTGTTCTACGTAAGATATGTTCTATCCAGTTTTAAAATTTACACTTTTGTGCTGATTAATTTCTGTTTGGCGCATTAACTCGCACATAGTTGAGGAGTTGTCACATCCCTTGACTAGTGTTCAACTCACACTGAACTTCCTTCCCTTTTCAGTAGGGAAAAGAAGGAAGAGAGAGACTAGAATGATATTATTTCCTGTGGAATTTTAACTGCAAGTAATGCTAGTTTGCATAATGATTTTTTTTCATGCCCATTAATACTTTGTTTTGCCTTCTGCTTAGAATCAGGAGGGCCCTTTATTGAGCAGATTTATGTCCTGCAAGGCTATAAGGAAGGATGGAAAGAAGGAACATGGGAAGAAAAAATAGATGAGAGGCCTTGCATTGATCAGCTTATGTATTCCAAAGATAAACATCAGTACTACAGGTAACGTCTAGCAATCATTTCACTGGTCTTCTACTTATTAAGAAATTCACCCACTTTGATGGAACAAACTTGTGTGATTAGTGATAGTGTTTGTGAGCCTCTGAATGCATTGGATTCATTTTCTTTATCAAACTTGATCAATATCAAAATGTAGTAGAAAACACAATCTTAGAAAGTCATTATGTCATAAAAAATATTATAAAGGAACTGTCTGGTTTCTTTACATTATATATCACCTTCCTAGGGTGTACTGCTGGTTTATTTCATTCTGTGTGTGGCATTAACTTAAAACACAAGCCTGTGAACCAAAACCTTTTATTTTCTTTCAGAGGATGGTTCTGGGGTTATGAAGAAACGCGGGGGCTGAATGTCTCTTGTTTATCTGTTCAAGGATCTGCCTCTGTTGTAGCCCCCATCCTTCTGAAGAATACCTCAGCACAGTGAGTTGCTTTGTGTTATTATGCCATGCCCTAGGAGCCTGTTGCTAGGTGGGAAGAGCAGGGAGAACTTAAAGGCTATGTCTCGTTGTGATGTTTCATCACTAAGCTACCACGGTCCATTAAAATCATTACGGAAGGAATTTATGCTCAAAAAACAACTAAGAGGAAATAGCCTTGAACTCTGCCTAATTCTTTCGCAGGTAGATAACTGTACTTGTTTTCCTCTTCTTCCTTTATGCTTCAATGTTGTGTTAAGAGGAGAGGGAACAGTGTAAATACAGTGTATCCCACGTACTCATCTTGGATCAGAAGAGGCAGTGCCTGATCCCATGTGACATCAATCCCCGTTAGTATGAGCTGTGTTTATAGAAAGCGCGTTTTGTCTTTCTGTTCTGAAAATGCAGAAATGCCACTAGAATGATCAGAGGAAAGGGAAACTCATATGAGAGATGAAGCATTCTTGCGTTGTCCCAGTAGCAGAGCATTTCCAGATAGCTGTGACCCTGTAATAACTGAAGAAGTTATAGCAAAGCAAAAGCTACAGAGTAGAACAGGAAAAGGAAATTATCACTGTCTACATGTCAGGGGAATAAATCTATAGGAGGACTACAAGTTGTGGAAGATGAAGTGTAGCTTTGCCATGAGAAAAAATAGAGCCAAATGTACGACATGAGTACTGTTTAATTGGAAATGAGATGAAAGTCCCCTCGGCAGAACAGTGAGATCTGTAGTACCTCCTGCGGGGAGCAGAGGAAGCAGAATCCTGTTCTTCAGTGGTGGTGGTGTACTGTTTGTGGGGGTTAAACCGCAATATTTGCTGGTGAAAGCAGGAATCTGTATAAAGTAAACCATGGAAGTCTGTGTAAGTAGTCCTGCAGTGAATTCTTCCATGGTACCTATGATGGATCTGGTGTTGAGGAAAGTCAGGAGAAAAATTAGGAGTGATGCCAAAGCATTCCTAAGCTGCAGACAAGGTACTTCATCCACAAGGTTATATTTCTCAATCAGACCTGAGCAGGAATAGCAACAAGCATAACAGTGCAAGTGCAGCTGTAGGCCTCTGAAGGGGACCTACAGAAGGGCTGGGGAGGGACCTTTTATAAGGGCATGTAGCAACGAGGGAAAATGGCTTTAAACTGGAAGAGGAGAGATTGACACTAGATATTAGGAAGAAATTCGTAACT